CAATTCTGGAGGGTATTTCAGGTCAATACAAGCTCCCTCATGTTGCGCAGCATGCGAAGAAGCTTAAGCTCTCACACTTTCATGCCATAGCAGCTGCAAAACAACCCACCAGAGCGCTTCAGCTTTCCACGGTCCCTGAGTTTTCACAAATTGTTGTGCTTTCCAATTTACCATGTCATGTTACTTTCAGCATTTCAGATTCTAATTTACAACAGTGTTTGAGCGTCACATGGCTCCAGCACGCCTACACCATTCCCTGTCAGAGTCGCTTATTGAGAGCAACCAGAAAAAAGGGGGGTGAAATCCGTCGCTTCAAGCTTTCAGTGGAACACACGCAGACACTGAGATCATTGTCAGACACTGGTCAGAAAGGTTCAAGTGATGCGGAACTGCAGTTGAGGGAATGCGCAAAATGTGGGGATAAGTGTACCCCTCTTTCATTTGTTTTGGATGCTGATTGCACAACTGGGGATTGCTGTGACTGGGTGTTTGGTATTAGATGGACGCCAGAGGAATTTATATCTCAGGCGGTTGCAGTGGGACATCCATTTATGGTTTTTTCGGGATTGCCGACGGAAGTCAAAGACGCCTGCTTGCATGTTGCGGAAAGTGAGGAGTTTGAGGTGATAAACAACCGATGCACCCGCTGACGATGACTACGAAGGACCTAGAAGCAGAATGCGATGAGAAGGCAAACCTGGCCTTGAGATATATGACAGGGAGAAGCAGCGGGGCAAACCTGGCCTTGAGATATATGACCAGCGGGTCGGATGACCTGGATCAGAAACTTTGGGAAAAGACGCAACTGGAGGTTAGCAAAGGATGGCTGGCTGGCCCAATTGACTGGGATAGTTTGCCTGAGGATGCCACTGTATCCCGACGTTTTCCGCTGGACCAATCTGGGAAAGTGCGACCGATTGACGACTTGAAACAAAGTCAGGTAAATGCAACTGTTACCTCTTTTGAGCAAGCCACTGTAGACGGTCCAGATGTTATCAGTGCATTTGCCATATTCTTCATGCGATGTTTGCAAGCGGCTGGGAAAAGCACCGACCTATTGGGAAGGTCACTGGACCTCGCTTCAGCGTATAGACAATTGGCTATAGCAGAAGATTCCCTGAAGCATTCCTTCTTATCGGTTTATTCACCTCATAGCAAAAAGGCCGAACTGTTTAGCCAAATTGCTTTGCCCTTTGGATCAAGGACGGCGGTAAACGCTTTCATCAGGTGCGCAAGATTTCTTCAATGGGTGTCGGCGCGTTGCCTAAAATTGCCGGTGTCCTGTTACTTCGATGACTTTGTAGCCTTCTCGACACCTGGCTTGGCCAACAACACTCAAGCTGCATTGTGTCTCATGCTAGACATACTTGGCTGGAGCTTTGACAGGGAAGGGCCTAAGAGCGATGAATTTTCGCGGCTGGTCATGGCCCTAGGAGTCCAATTTGATCTTTCTGGATGTGCTGATGGTCTACTCACGGTATCAAATACAGACAAGCGTGTCAAGGAGACCACTGAATTGCTTGATCAAGTTCTTGCGGCTTGTGCGTTGGATAAAAAGAGTGCATTGACTTTGAGGGGGCGCCTGGCTTTCTGCGATTCATTCATCTTTGGAAGAATGGGAAAAATTGCATTGCAAAATATAACGAAGCATGCGTACAACACGCCCTTCAGAGCTGAGCTGTCGGACACGTTGGTGGATTCACTTAAGCTGCTGAAGGACAGAGTGCTCCTGGGAAAGCCCAGGCAATTGCAATGCGAACTCTTGCAGCCCATGTTCCTATTTACGGATGCTAGCTTTGATCAGGTCAAGGGAGCGGGGCTTGGAGCGGTTTTGATTTCAGGCGATGGCCACATCATTTCTTGGTTTGGAATTTGGGCCGAGGTTTCAGACTTGGCAGCCTTTTTAACAGACGGAAGACAGAATGCAATTGGAGAACTGGAAACCTTAGTAGTTGCCATGTCCCTTATGGTTTGGAGCCAGTTGCTGAAATCGGCGCCGCTTATGGTCTACATTGACAATGAGGGTTCGAAATTTTCTTTGATCAAGGGCTACTCCAGCTCACCGTCCATAACTGCTATATGCGCGCTTGCAGCCACCTACCTGGACAGCTACTGTATCTTACCCTGGTTCAGCAGAGTTCCTTCTTCGTCAAACTTGGCTGACTTCCCCTCCAGGTTGATGGATCATCCTCTTTTAAGAAGAGAATTGAGAATCCCTGAGAGGGACGCCAGAGATGCCTTCAAAGGAAGCATGAGTTTCATCAAAATGGCAAAGACGCCACAATAAACATGGGTGGGGGCCGTGGCGAAAGCGGGCGGCGTGAATTCCCCATCATCTAAGAAGTAAAAAGTGTGCGCTGATCGTCTTTGACTGGAGCGGGTGACCTGTGTTTTTGATCCATCTTTTTTCATCAGCTGAGAGCAGTTTGGCGACGGAATGTTTATTTGCGAGATTTCGGCGAGAGCGTTGTTTTATATGTATATATATATATACACAGATGTATACATATATATATATATGTTCTTTTATGTGTAAGTTTCGTCAATCTGTGCTGAGCACTGAGGAGACGACTTTTTGTTTGTGTGTTGCGTTTTGTTTTACTGCACGTTCGTTATGGATGTCCACGGTTTTTGGGTTTGGGAAAATAAGTTGCAGCTCAGCGCGCTGATGAAACTTTATTTTTCCTCTCCCAAAAAAGAAGCTGAAAGCAGCTTCTAGTAGGACTCCCTCTTGCGTGGCGTGCGTCCTCTGCGTTCCCCCGCGCGGTGCATTTGGGTAGTGGTGACTTTGTGGTAGCTGCGGGTTCAACCAACAGTGGTTTCTTGTGTGTTTGTTCTGTTTCAAGAGTGAAACTTTTAATCTGCAGCTGCAACACGTCACTCTCATGTTTTTACAGGTGAACAGAGGTTCAGCTTTGTTATTGCACACTGCGCAAGGATGACACACACAAATTGCAATCTGAAGCGTGATATGTTCTGTCAACCATCCACTGAATTATATATTCGTGTGGCCTCTTCGTTTCAAGTAAGCGCCTCCAAAGGGAGGGAGGGTGGGTCCACTTATTTAGTGGCGTGTTTTTCTCTTTTTGTGCCCCCCCCCACCCTGCAAGTAGTGGTGAGAGCACCACTTTTTCTCTTGGTTGACATGAACATTCACACAATGTGTTTCACAGAATACGTGTGGAAGGCCACTTTATAACGTATTCTTTCTTTTCTACTTACCCCCGAAAGCGGGCGGCGTGAATTCCCCATCATCTAAGAAGTAAAAAGTGTGCGCTGATCGTCTTTGACTGGAGCGGGTGACCTGTGTTTTTGATCCATCTTTTTTCATCAGCTGAGAGCAGTTTGGCGACGGAATGTTTATTTGCGAGATTTCGGCGAGAGCGTTGTTTTATATGTATATATATATACACAGATGTATACATATATATATATATATGTTCTTTTATGTGTAAGTTTCGTCAATCTGTGCTGAGCACTGAGGAGATGACTTTTTGTTTGTGTGTTGCGTTTTGTTTTACTGCACGTTCGTTATGGATGTCCACGGTTTTTGGGTTTGGGAAAATAAGTGTGGCATCCTCTGCTCCTGTCCGTTTCTGCCTTCCCGGCGCCCTCTCTCCCTCCCTCTTGTTCGGTTGTGTGTGTGTTTTTGTCGGTTTTTGGTGTTGTTCCTTCCCTTTGTGCAATTTCCTCTACCTTCACTTAGGCGAGAGAAGTCTGGAGCTCAGCTCTCTTAGAGGGTGTTCTCTGGTGTGTCTACTTAGTTTCTTGATGTTGAACGTTTGGCAAGGAAAGAGCTTTGCTTACTAAGGTGACTAAAGCCTGGAGAGTCTTGGCGCCCCCAGGGGCTCCTTTTCCCCAGTCACTCTTCCTGTGTCTCTCTCCTCCTCATTCGGTGGTGGTTTGCTACCTGAATTCGTTTTTTCGTTTTCGTGATCTTCTTGGGTGAGCCGAATGTCCGTTGGCCTTGCCTGGTCGGTTTTGTTGTTTTGAGAGGGGCTGTAGTTAACCGGCCGGAGCCATGGACCAGGCTGCACTGCAGTGAGTCCCATTGGAGCAATCCAGTGGTGCTCCCTGTAGGACAGCCTGGGGCGCCCGTGAGCAGCATAAGTCTGCCTGCATGGTTCGTTCGTTGACGGATGAGAATCGGTGACTCTGCAACCTGCCCACTCTACGGGTGAGTGGTACTTGTTTTGGATGACACTGCTGACGTCTACTTCGCATACTGCAATGCACTGCAGGTCTTTCAGGGACGATGACACCCTGGAATGTCCTGAGCAGTTCTGCGGTTGCCCTTTTAAAACGAACCCTGCAACAACCAGTGTTACATTGACAAAAATGAAGATGGTGTGACTAGCCAGCTGCGACGAAGTCATATCGTTTGCTGCATGATTTCGCTGTCTAAGTGTGGAGTCAGCGTACGGTCAACGCGTTGATAGTGCATTAAATTACTAAGCTAGGAAAATTTGGTTGCCAAATTTTAGCCACCGTTCATATCATGCCTTTGCTCAACCGAGCATCGTAACATGCCAGGGATGAACCTGTGAAAACAACACCCTGAAATTATCCCATACCGGGTGGTCTTGTTATTGCTCTATTTTGCCAGGGATGAACCTGTGAAAACCAACAACAAAACAAATTGGATTGTTTCTCTCAATTGTTCCTGGTGAAACAACTTCAGCTGTGCATCTTGGACTTGATGTGTGAAAAGATCAACATGTCACTTTTTCATTTTGGTCTCAAGTTTTTCATTTCAAGCGGCCTGTGCCAAAAATGCGTCGGCATCTAGATGCCAGTAGCCGGGGCAAAGTAGCTGTGACAACGTTTGTCCACTTGGGCTCATCGGGGCCCCAGACCTCTCAGTGCCGCTTTTTCATCTGCAGTTGCTGTGTCAGTTTTTCCATTGGTTGGACTTGCTGTTTGCTCTGGTTACTCTACGGATAATTGGGGGTTTTTCCTTTGATTAGACGTCATGGACTCAAACGCAGAACCTGAAATTGATGCTTTTGGAGTTGATGCAGTGCATGACGATGATCTTTCAGTGCCATGTTTTCCGAATGATCCTGCTGAACCTCATGTTGATGCTCCTGAACACCACAGTTGCGACCATGATGCAGATTCTTTTCAGTATTTTGGTGGCCCTGGTTTTGATCATGCCCTGGATTACCCTCAATTTCCATCGTGTCCGTCAGGTGAGCAAGATCTCCTTCCTGGTGTGCCTGGCTCGTGGCTGGATCCCAACAGCAACGGTGTGGACATTTCTGGAACTGACCGTAGTGTAAATGGTACAGCTTCTTTTCAACCGACAGTTACAGACACTGTGCACCATGCAATTTTCTCCAGAGCATTGTTGACCAATTGTGAAGTGACCAACATTGTTTTGCCTTGGTAGACTGGCTTCTACAAGGAATTTTTCAGCGATGATCCTTTCCCGCAGTCATTGGTCCCTGCAGTTCAGATTGATGAGTTTTGCAATTTTGGGAACCAGCCTGAACCTCAATCAGTTGCTGAAGCTGTCGCTGGAGTTGCATCCTGCACATCCCCTGGTCCAATTTTTGCCAGTTGCATTGCATGTGTTGATGATGGGTTTTTCCAATCGAAACGTCAACAGTTGTATGATGCTGCAGTGAGCAAGCTTTTGATTGTGCTGCGCCATTGCCTTCTTGCCAGCAGTACTGGCAGACACATCATTGCGTTGGGGACCGAGCAATTGCAAGATGCAGGAGCCTCTGAAGTGTTGGAAGCAGTTTTAGGAGTGAAGTCTCCTGCAACCCTCATCAAACGTGCAAACTCATTGCTGTCCTTTTTGCGTTGGCTTGCAAAGAATGGCATCCAAGAGGTGAACCCCTTCACTGAAGAGATGCTTTGGAAGTATTTGCAATTTTTGAGGGAAATCCAGTGCACCTGCGACAAAAGGTGACTCTGCGATGTCTGCTTTCAGATTTGCCTACCACGTTTTGGGATTTGAGTCACTGGGCCCTGCGATGACTAGCCGTCGCCTTGCAGGGATTTGTGAACTGATGATGTCAGGGAAACGCTTGCTCAAGCAGGCTTTGGTCCTGACCGTGGCCCAGGTGAAGGGGTTACACACTGCACTCAAAAACACGGCGCTTCATGTTTATGACAGAACCATGGTTGCCTACCTGCTCTTTGCCCTTTATGGACGATGCAGGAATAGTGACCTGGCGCTCATTAAATCTTTCGAAGCTGATTTCTCTGATGAGGGCGGTTATGTTGTCATACACACCTGCAACCATAAAACTGGAAGGCTTGCAACCCTGAAGACGAGATTGATGCCTATCATTATACCAGCACGTGGTGTTGATGGGGAGGTCTGGGTTAAGGAAGCCTTGGCTGTTTTTGATGCAGCCGGTGTTGAGCTCTCAGATCAAATTGATGGCCCGCTTGTTCATGCCCCCAGCAGTTCAGTTGATGGCTTCATGAAAAGAGGTTTGAGGTCTTCCGAAGTTTCTGCAATGTTGCGTAGGTTCATCAATGTTGCTGAGCCGGTGCCGGGAGACGGCATGGAGAGTCCCTCGAGCCATAGCCTCAAAGCAACTGCCTTGTCTTGGTGCGCTAGGTACGGATTATCACCAGCCACGCGCTCATTGCTGGGTCGGCATACAAATGCTCTGATAGAGACATATGCCATTTATTCCAGAGATCTCATGTGTGCACCAACTGCTGAACTCCAGCGCGTCATTGATGAGATAGCTGATGGTAGCTTTTGTCCTGACAACCCGCGCTCCGAGTTTTTCAGGCGCAAGGATCAGGCTCATGACATGGAAAAGGCGGCTGGCAGGGCACCTGGTTTTGATGATTGTGCCTCAGTCAAGAGTTCGTTGGCCGTACCCAGTCTTATGAGCGAGCTCCATGACTTTCAGGGTGAAGAGGTCCCTGGTTGTGCTGGCACCGTGTTGCAACCCCCTGCAAGGGGCCCTGAGCTTGATGGAGATGCTGCCCTAGTTGAGGGCCAGGTTGTGGAGGAGTCGGATGATTCCGATTCTTCAACTGACAGTAGTGGATGTTTGTCTTCTGATGACTCAGATTTGGTTGAGCCCCCACCCAAAGTGAAGCGATTCCGTGCTCGCATTCCTGAGGGGCAGCGTTGGTACGTCCACTCTAAGTCCCACCTGGTGCACCGTTTTGATGGTGATGATCACAACGGCCTTAGGTTTTTGGTTTGTGGCAAACGGCTCACAGAAGCCTTCACGTTGTGCACTGAAGCAAGTGCGTGGAATGTCCTGTGCAAATCCTGCAACCGCCGCAGGGATGGAGCTGGGTTATCCGGATGATGCGACCACCCTACAACAGGGTCGATGGCAGATGGTGGCCAAGGTTGGAAAATTGATGCGGCTGCAACCACACCAATGTCAATAGTGATGTTTGTGAGAAGCGCATAGCAAGGGATGTCCTTGCATGTCATGCATTTGCGCCTGAGGGATGTCCTCAGTTGGAAGTTGCTGCCACACTCATGGGGGATGCCCTCATACAATTGAAAGCATACCGCTTTCCCGTGGTTCAAGAATTCGCTGCATGTTCAAAAAAAAACTTTTGTTTTTCATGAGCAATTTGTCTTTTTGAAAGCCAAGCCATTGCAGAACCAATGCAAAGCATTTAAGCTGTAAACCGCTGTCAACCAGCAGATAGGGCGACAGCTGTTGCACTCTTGGCTGCGACGATGGCATCGATCATTGACTCTGAAGCGCAGTTTGATTTGAGGTTGGACCAAGTGAGAGTTCCACAAACTCTCCAGCTGGCTCTCAAGAACTCTGGTGTTACCACGATTTCATCCTTGGCATTTGCACATGGCCAACCAGGCCAGCCGATCTCCAATGAGGATTTTGCAGCATGGGTGCGCCAGCTGGACCCTGGAGCAACTGTTGGAGGAGTATCATCGCTGAAACGGCTGCTGTTCGAGAGCCAGACGCAGCTACTAGCGATGCTAAAGGAACAGGTCACAAACCCTGACCCAGTGATTGCCAGAAAGGTACCCCAAGCCGAACGTGAAGCTCGGATGGTGAACCTCAGAACAAGACTGAATGGAATCCTTATTGAAGGGCATGGAGAGCCGAGCCATTCCCTCCTCGACAGTGCCTGCCAGATGTATGACCAGAATATACTTCGGTACATACCACTGGAGAAATGTTTTTCCCGTTTGACAGAGCTTTCATTTTCAGGAAAGCCACATGCAAAACTGCTTGAGATTGAATCTTCGAAGGTGGTTGTTCGTGACCGTGACCAAGAACATGAGGCTTCAGTTCAGTCATCGTATCAGGCATTGGAAGCTTGCAAGCGACGTGGATTAGCGCTTGACTTTGCAGGGATCATGTCCTTTGGGGCCCATGACAGGTATGTGCAAACACTTTTCAATCACTTGAATAGAGAACCCCCCACGGGGTATAATCGATGTAGTGTGTCCCAACTCCTTGCGGCAGACCGCGCTGCCTGGAGCCGCCTTATAGAGACCAACACAAAGCCAAGACCAGACGCAGCCGGAGTCCTTGCCCTTGACAAGGAGCTTTTGGAAGCCTTGAAGTCCTATGAGGTTGCCTTCGCCCTTCTGCCTACGGCCTCAAAGCAGCCCTCAAAGCCACAAGCTAGCACCTCGAGCTCTCCACCAAAGCAGCAGCCAGGGGCTTTTGGAAAGGCAGGCCGAAAGGGAAACAACCGTTTCCGACCATACAATGCAAAAGGAAAGGGTAAGACCAAAACAAAGTTTGACCAGAGAGTGCCACGTGAGATTCGAGAAGCCGGCGGCACCGCCTCCACGCCGGCGGGTGATCCCATTTGTTTTGATTATTCGCTTAAGAAGTGCAAGGAGAATGTCGCCGATGGCCGCTGCAGAAAAGGGTATCATGTGTGCGCCATCTGCTACGGCCACCATTGCATGGCCGACCACAAGAAATCATGACTAGCAACCGGCCGCGAGCTGCCCAGTAAGCGCAAGAGCATCGAACCAGATGCCATGCCCGAGCAGCCCACAAAGTGCATTCGAAAGATTTTGCCAAGCGACTGTACAGATATTTCCTCCGAAGCGAGCCCTATGCATGCCAGTGATGTAAATTTAAGCCCCACAGCTTGCTCGGTCCCTAGGACCCAGAATCATGATCAAAATTCTTCCCATGATAACATAGCCTCAAGTGACTTACATGGTGACCCAAATGTCACCGCGCACATTCCTGCCGACCCATTTTTTCTTGAGATTTGTGCTGGTTCTGCTCGGGTAACAACCTGTTTACAACAACTCGGGCTTAAATCATCCTTTGGAGTCGACCACAAACGGAGCAAGGATGCCGGCCGACTGCTTGTGGCAGACTTGACCTCGCCCGAAGGCCAAGCTCTATGTTGGCAGTGGGTGAAATCACCTAACTGTGTGGGCATCTTCTGCGCGCCTCCATGCGGCACCTGTAGCAGAGCAAGAGGCATACCAGTGCGATTGCCATCCGGCAAAAAGATCCCTGGGCCAAAGCCATTGCGATGAGAGGAACAGCCCGATGGATTCAAACACTTAACAGGGACCGACAAGTTGCGTGTCGAGTCCGCAAATGTTTTGTACCAGTTTATCACTGACCTCTGCCTTCACTGCATTGCAAGATCCCTCATAGTGTGTATTGAAAACCCACGGCAATCCTTATATTGGCGTACCTCTTTCTTTGCACCGCTCAAAGAGCTTCTTAGTTTTGCAGTCCATCAAGCTTGCGCCTACGGGTCCGAACGGCCGAAGTGGACAGCCTTAGCACACAACACACAGACCTTGCATGACTTAAATCATACATGTCCAGGTGAAGACCACAAGCACAAGCACAAGCCGTGGGGCATGACCAGCAATGCTAGCTTTTCCACGGCGGAAGAAACAGCCTATCCAATGCAGTTGGCCTTCACCATCGCCTTCTTTTTGGTCAAGCAGTTAGTCCTAAAGGGTTGGAAACCTCCCAGTGAAATTTTGTCACTGCCTGACGACATTTCCTACCAATACTTGCGGGCTGTTACTGGAGTGCAGCCCAAGTCCAGTAAAATCCCTCCTTTGGTTTCCGAGTTTGGTGCCATCATTGATATTGATGTCGCCCATGACACCCCTCTGCCAATAGTCCCAGGAGATAAACTCCCAAAACCTTGGCGGACTATTCCTGCAGGAGCCTGCTTGCTTAAAAAACAAATTGTGCGGTCAAATGGGGGTATGGGGAAGATGCAGCCTGGAATGAAAAGAGTCTCCTTTGGGGTTTTCAGGTCGAGCCAAGAATTTGTAAAGACTGCAGTGCTGGCAGGGCACCCCATCAGCAGGGAGACCAAGCTTCCCGTCGCTCTTGACGCGGCAGTTGACTTCCTCAATAACAATCCGATGCATGTGGTTGCCAGGCATAGGCTCACTGAGTTGGAGCGTTGGTTGGATCGTGCGAAAGCGCTTGTTGAAGATGAAGACGCCCTGCACAAATCGCTTGACCCGGCCATGCAGGGTATCCTGGCCCCAAAAAGACTCTTGCTTTGGAAAGAGATGATGGCGCATTACAAGTACCCTGATTGCGAAGTATTTGATGAAGTGGTGTCTGGTACGAAACTTTCCGGCGTGGTCCCTGCAGTGCCATCCCTAGAAGCTTGTTTCAAACCAGCAAAACTCACCGAGCCTGAGCTGGCATCCACTGCACGGGCTGCCCGCATTGGCCTCTTGCGATCTGTCCGCTCTTCTGGTGACCCATTCATTGATTCTGAAGTTTATCGGAAGACCCTGGAAGAGCTGGAGAACGGCTGGCTAGACGGCCCCCACGACCCTGAATCGCTGCCAGAGGACACGGTTATCAGTAGACGGTTTGGTATCCTCCAAAGCTCAGGTGATGCATCCAAGGTGCGACTCATAGATGATTTTAGTGCCTCAGGCGTGAACTCAACTGTCCAGGTCAATAGCTGTACCAAGTTGCACACATTGGATGTTGCTGCTGCCCTCATTCTGAAGCTTTTGCGTGAATCCCACGCGGCCAGTTGGGTTGGGAAGACCATCGACCTGTCAGCAGCATACAGACAGTTGGGCGTGGCCTCAGGGTCGCGGTGGGTTTCTTTTATTGCAGTCTACGACCCGTCCTCAAGGACTCCAAAGATCTTTGCAATGAGGGCACTGCCGTTTGGTGCCAGCCGGTCTGTATACAGCTTCCTCCGTGTGGCACACTCCCTTTGGTGGCTGGGTTGTGTCGCGCTCAAACTGCCATGGACAAATTTCTTCGGTGACTTTATAACCTTGGCGAGGTCTGAAGAATCTGCCTCGGTGGAAGTTGTCACCAGGCAATTTTTCCGTCTGTTGGGCTGGGGCATCTCTGAAGGCGAGAAAGACCTTCCCTTTTCAGAAAAATTCAGAGCATTGGGAATAGAAGTCGGCCTGTCTGACTGGTCGTCTGGTGTTGCGAGGTTTGCGAACACGAGCAAGCGCACGGCTGAGCTGGTGCCCACCATCAAGACTGTCTTGGAGAGCCGGACCTTGCCGCACCAAGCTGCCCTGGCACTGCGAGGTCGCATGCAGTTTGCACATGCGCAGCTTTGGGGCCGGGCTTCAAAACTCTGTCTCAACGCGGTTACTGCCCATGCCTATTCCGGTGATGGTCCTGAGATCAGTCGCCACCTCGCAAACTGCTTGGAGCTGTTCGTGCAGAGCTTGGAAGAATCGAAGCCGAGAGAAATCTCGCTGTGGTGGGATGTTCCCTTCTTCCTATTCACCGATGCCTCGTTTGAGCGAACTGATGCCGGCTGGCCCTGCGGTATTGGTGGGGTGCTTGTGGGGCCGAGTGGAGAGCAAATCTCGGCTATATCTTTGTGCCTTGACATGAGTGACTTGGAGTGCCTTGGGTACCCGTCCCGGTCAACGGTCATTTTTGAAGCTGAACTTCTTGCCCTTATTGTTTGCTTCAAAATTTGGAAGAGGCACCTCCGCCACAGGCCATGTGTGATGTACATTGATAACAATGCAACCCGTGACGTGAGCATCTCGGGAAGAGCTAGGACTGCGCCTGCGTCCGACCTGGTCGCTGAGCTCTTAATGTTGGAAGATAGGAACTGCACCAACACCTGGTTTGCGAGGGTCCCTTCAGCATCAAACCTTGCAGACGGACCATCAAGAAATGACCTGGCTGAGATCACAGCTGGGTGTGTCTCCCCTGACTTTGCAAAGCTTGTTGCCAAGAAGGTTTTAGCTGGTTTGTGCCCCTCAAGGCCGCCTTGACCTTGGGAGTTCCTTTTGCAGTCTGACGGTTAAGATGGGGAGAGAAATGCAGGATGTGTTTTTGAATTTTTTCCAGATGAGGCTGCAGTAGCCAAATGGTTCGCCCAACATGATCGTTGGAAACCACCGCAGTGACAAGTGAAGGCCGACCGAACTGTGGGGCGGCATCCAAACCTTTTGCAGCAGTGGTGCGACCACGCATTCCCCATCGCAGTTGTGAGAAAACAGAGTGGCGCGTGAGTTTTCACTTTTGGTGCATTTTCATGTGATGTGGTTGAGGTTTTGTTTTGGTTTTATTTGAAGTTTCGTATCTTGGAGGTATTGACGCGTGGCGACCGTGCGTGTAATTTAAGCGTACGGTCAACGCGTTGATAGTGCATTAAATTACTAAGCTAGGAAAATTTGGTTGCCAAATTTTAGCCACCGTTCATATCATGCCTTTGCTCAACCGAGCATCGTAACATGCCAGGGATGAACCTGTGAAAACAACACCCTGAAATTATCCCATACCGGTTGGCATTGGTCTTGTTATTGCTCTATTTTGCCAGGGATGAACCTGTGAAAACCAACAACAAAACAAATTGGATTGTTTCTCTCAATTGTTCCTGGTGAAACAACTTCAGCTGTGCATCTTGGACTTGGTGTGTGGGGAGATCGACGTGTCACTTTTTCATTTTGGTCTCGGGTTTTTCATTTCGGGCGGCCTGTCCCGACCCTATTTCCCACCCAGGCCACTTGACAGCTTCTTACACTTGCAAGACAGCTCGAAGCTCAAACTTTCGCCGCACCGTCCAATACCCTGGGTCTCTATGCAGCAGCCTGATATCGTGAACTTCAGTGTGTTTATCTCGGTGGCCTTGCTGTACTTAGACATGCCACAGCCAGAGCCCAGAGTGCGTGCCTTCGAAACAGTCATAGGTGCGCTGAAGCCACTCCTTGAGGCTTGCGGGAGACCGCCCTTTTTGAAGGCGGCATTCGAAGTTTGGGCAAGCATGTCCAACTCCCTGGTGGTGCTCGAAAAGCTCCACTTCCCAGACCTCCCACCAGAGACACCAACGTCGTTGGTCCTCCCACCGCGGCCCCAGCCACTGGGGGCCCTGCTGGACCAACGCTTCAGGGAGCACCATGGAAAATTTGGCCCCGCTTTAGCGGCACTCAGTGAATTTTTGGACTGGTTCCGTCTTCACTACGACACGGACTTGCACAGCGATACATACAGTATGCTGCAGGACACCATGCTCCTGCTCCAGTCTTGTCAGACGCTCATCGAGCTTGCCAGAGACGAACCTGTTCCAGCACCGGTGCCTTCTGCTTTGGCTGCTGGCCCTGCCCGTGGTGAAGCTGCAGCTCCACCTCCTGACCCGAACCAGCCTTGCATGGTTCTTTTGCCGAACGAATACTGAAGGCCAGCAGCAGCGTGCCAAATTTTTCCCTACATCTTGCTGGAGAGAAATGCAGGATGTGTTTTTGAATTTTTTCCAGATGAGGCTGCAGTAGCCAAATGGTTCGCCCAACATGATCGTTGGAAACCACCGCAGTGACAAGTGAAGGCCGACCGAACTGTGGGGCGGCATCCAAACCTTTTGCAGCAGTGGTGCGACCACGCATTCCCCATCGCAGTTGTGAGAAAACAGAGTGGCGCGTGAGTTTTCACTTTTGGTGCATTTTCATGTGATGTGGTTGAGGTTTTGTTTTGGTTTTATTTGAAGTTTCGTATCTTGGAGGTATTGACGCGTGGCGACCGTGCGTGTAATTTAATCATACTCTATGGCTCCATGCTCTTTGCATGTCTGCTGACTTCTCTTGCATGGTTTACTTCCAGTTGAGCGTTGCCTACGGCTGAGGATTACCACTGGCAGAGCTCGATCATTTGGTCAGGAGTGCACATCTTCCCCTTTTGAAACTAGGGGCCCTGCACTCTGTTCTTTGCGATGGCTGTATGGATGATTTACACCTGGTCTGTAAATCTTCCTGAACGCCAATACCGTCCGCCCCCCCCTGCTGGGGGGGTGCTTGGTACAATGACCACTGCGACATTCCTATCAATAGAGGATGGACGATTTTGGTCCTTTGCATTGTGGCCTTATGCACAAGTACATCTGAGAGGACGCTGAGAGAGGCAATTTTCGTAGGCCCGTGACCTTGTACAGTTTTTTGTTCTATGCCAACGACGGTATGCACAATGCCTCGATTTCTATGCTTCACTGAATGTCGTGGTGGGTAATTAATTTTGGCATGTTTTTGAGTGTGACACAGTGGTAAGACCGCTGTGTCCCTTGGCAAATCCTTCTTGTGGGTGTTGTTGTTTGGGCTCTTGCCCCTTTGTGTGTCTGGTTTGCTGTTTTTTGCTTTGACGAAACGCAAATCTGGCTGGGGGATTTGCGGGTCGTCTTGTTGTTTTTGTGTGGTTTTTGGTTTGTTGTGATTTGCCTGCACTTCTGGACCTTCTGGGTCCTTGTACAAATGTCGTTTTGACTGCTTATGCTCATGTAAGGACCGAGCCACAGTGCGACATCGGCCAAACTCGAGGAAAAAAAAAGTTCCCACTCTTCTACAGCTCGTTGTGCTAGTGATCCAGTTTGTGGTGGGACCATTCGGGCGGCTGGGGTTCTAGTGCCGAAAGGAATGCACTATCGGGCAATGTGGCAGCGGGCACTGCTGCAAGGGCCGTGACGGCCCGGCGGATGTCACTGTCCTTCACCTCATAGGAGGGGGATGTTTTCTGTGCGATGGCTGACTCTGAGTTCGCCCACAGTCGTTGTAAGGTGAAGCCGAAGCATCCCCACACACCAAAAGCAGAGACGAGCAAGGCAACCGAGGAAGAGACGACAACAACCAAAGACAAACACGAACCCGCAACACGACAAAGACACCAGAAAGAAAGCACACAGACCAAAAAACGCCAGACACACAAGGAAAAACAGAGCAAATAACAGGCCGCAAGACACAGGCCCCAGCACACCATCCGGAAAAAGACAACGATCAAGGGGAACACCCAGGAGACATAAGGCCTGCCAGACAACCGCGAAGAATGGAGGCCAAAATACACACGACAACGAAAAGAAATGAATTAAGGAGTAGCCCAGTCTGCGGACAGACACACAAGTACAAAAAGGATCAAGATCTGGGTTGTGCGGCAGCAGAGCCGAAGCAAACAGTATGAGTGTACTTGTCCAGACCTTAGTTCTGCAGTGGTAGAAACGAGGAAAAAAGGTACAGTGCACCTGTCCAGTCTGTGGACAGACACACAGATTTATGGATAGGATCCAAATTGCAGGACATCTTCGTGAGTGAGTTCCGGTAGATTGGCATAATGTTCTTCTGAAGACGGGCTAGATCCTTTTTCGGTGCGGGGCAGAGGCGATCTCGTCGCGTGGTGGTATAATGCCTGTCTCAGGACCGTGCATAGACAGCTAGCCGCGGATCGATTCCCCCCGGGTACGATCGTGACGTGATAGACAAGTAAGTCTCAAAGTGGTGACCCGCCGAAAGGCACAGGGCGCCGGCCACAAAAAAACTTTTTAGGTGCGGGGCAGTGGCAAGAGAGCTTTCTGTGCTTGACTGACTTCATAGCTCGCTGTAATCGTGCAACTATCCAAAATTGCATTGTCAAGGTCAGTGATCCGCTGGGACGGAACTTCAGGGATGCCCCGGAGTTTCTGGCACGCTTTCTCTAAAAGTTTGGTCGCAGTCGCAATTTCTTCACCTGTAACTTGGCACAATGTCAGCTGGGCAATTGATTGGATGCGGTTCGGCGCAGCTTGTTCCATCTCGGATATGACGATGGTGGCAGGCTGTGTCAATTGGACAGCTGTAGCACCAGTTGGTGACAGGCAGTGGGCTGCTTTGCTACCAGTCGTGGGTCTTCCACGTTATCCCCTCTGTAAGCTGCTGTCAGTGCATCAGCGCGAAGATCGCTAATTTACTGTTTCTAAGCAACATGCAACTGAACGTGTTTGTGGCAGATAGCATTAAGCAGCTCCTGGTTAGCGAAACGAAAACTTCTGGACCTACACTCAAAATAAACTCGAGCCATTCATCCTTCAAAAGTTTCAGAACATCCAGGCAAGCAACCAAACATTCTTCCACAAGAGTCTAATCTTCTCACCAAAAAGACAGACGAGGGAGGTCCCTTCCAATGGCTCCAGTTCTGTGACACATTTCAATTCTCACTCACGAAGATGTCCTGCAAGAGCACTAGGACCCACTCAAGGCTGATGATAGACAAAGCACACCTGAGAGGACTCTGAGTGGCCCCTGAGCGCCGTTAGTTTCTTGGTCGTTTCACCTTAGCTCCGATTTCATACCACGTTTCACTTTTCAACATCTACTTACCAGATGCGACAAGACAGCGTCTTGCTGGCTTTTGGATCGTATCCATGAATCTGTGAGAATGTTGCCCGTGCGGCTTGCACTCTGTGATCTCGAGGCTCCTGGCTGGGGGGAGCCTTGGTTTCCGCATTGTGCATCTGTTGCTTCCTGGCTCACAGATTGTTGTATGGCCCTTTGTGGTTTGTTGTTTCGCTTTTGTTTTGCATTGCCATACCAATCCCTGAGGTGATACAATGTTATCATCTCTTCTTGCACTTTCTAATTGTCCATGAACTGATCAGCTGACCACCGGCCGTGCTGGTTTTTGTTTTTGTTTCTGGTTTGTGTTGTTTGCTTTTTGGTGTTTTTGTCTGTTTTGTTTGTTTTTGGGTCTTTGGTGTTTGCTTTTTGTCTTGCACGGTGACAGCTCAATGGATTATGTATCGATCCATTTCAGTTCTCTTTTGTTTCACATTGTCATTATGACCAATGTTGCTACTGCATTAATTCGGTGAATTTGCACAATGCAATTGTCTTTCCGGCTTGATAAACGACCTGGCGAGAGCCATCTGGCGTTGGACGGAAAAAAAAGACAAATTTCAACTCCCATTTTTGGAGCTGTTGTTTGGCCATTTTCGAATCCAAAACAAAAAAGCACTTGAACGTCTGTCATGGATGACGTTCCAGCCGGTTTTCTGGTCGATGCTCACGTTGCTCCCCCTTCCCCTCCCTCATGGTCCAATGTTGTGGTACGCCGCAGAATGCGGACAACAACATTTGAGTCCAGCAAAGTTCATGCGCCTCGGTCAACCTCTATGTCGCCGTTAATCATGTTCCTTTGCACTTTGCTGGTGGTGGCATTTGGCACGGTTCCATTGGCTTGCTCTTCGTGTCTACACGCTGGAAGGGACTCTAAGGATGAACCGCACCTTGGTGGACGTCTTGGGAGTTTTGCAAAAGAACTTGAAGTCCCCTAGTGCTGAAGTCAAAGGAGAAGGTGGTGAATCAGAACTTGAAGATGACGATGAGTTTGATGAAACTCCAAGGCCACGTCACCAACGATACATGGATGCAGAAGACATGAGCCACGTGTCTGATCCAGATGAGTGGAGTCGACTTCACTATGGAGTGGATGAAGGCAACCCAAGGTTCCAGCAGCAGTTGGACGACATGCATGCTGCACTTCGTGCCAGACTTCACCGTCTTGAAGCTGAGTGGGAGCTGAGCTGGCAAACGATTTGGATGCTAAGCATAGCTTGGAGATGCAGATCATTGAGGTCAACACGTTGCTTCCTAGGATATAGGTTGAAATCAACTTGTGCAGCCTTTGACGCATTGAGGCAAGCTGGTTTTTGAAGTGAACACAGGTCACTCGTGTAACTTGTTCCTTTTGTCAGGTTTTCACCCGTCGGTCGATTAAGTGTTGAACAGTTGGCCCCCGTGCCGGGCTTCACCTTTTTTCTCTGAATTTACAGTTTTAACCTAGTAATTCGTTCAAGTAAAGTGAAACAGATGGCCGCCATCTGGCCCATTTTCAGCTTTTCACCTATCGGTCGGGTGAGTGTTGATACAACGTGCCGCTGTTCTGTGCCTTCTGACATTCAGGTATCAGGACATGCTTGGTATGGTGATTTTTCCCCAACAGCCTAAGGGTCCTCAGCCCAGAATAGCTCCGGTATGCATTGGTGCAGGCACCGGGTTAGGTTCAACGAAGTTCCGGAGAAGGTTCCGGTGAAGGTCTGGAAGGCTTGTGTGCAGAGCTCAGGTTCAACAGGGTTCCGGGGAAGGTTCTGGATAATGTCTGGGAGGCTTAGAAGGTTCCAGAGAAGGTCGGGGGAGGCTTTGGTGCAATGCCAGGTCAGGTTCAACAGGGTCCCAGAACAGGGTCCGGAGAGGTCAAGTTCAACTTGGTACAGAGCCAGGCCAGATTCGAAAGGGTTCCGGACCGGAGAAGGTTCCGGAGAAGGTTCCGGAAAAGGTTCCGGGAGGCTTTGGTGCCGGAGAAGGTTCCAGCGGCTGGCTTCGCAGCACGCTTCAGAAAGATTTGTAAAAATAAAACGTTGCGGCTGGGTATCCCCACCGAAGCTTATTT